CCTGAGAGGAGAAAACTCAAGCAAGGATTTCTTCACCGAGTAACTCCCATGGATCGAGGAGGGTTTCTGGGTCGATGATAAACACAGCAGAGGTGGCCTCTGCAGAGAAACCTCAGGCTCTTCTGAGAAAGGGACTGAGTTTCAGACATGGTGATAGAGGAAGGCCCGTAGCACAAAAAGCCACAGGAAGTGGGAGCCTGCGGCCTACTGAGAGAAGGGACTGGCATGGTTCCTGGTGAGCATGCTCAGTAGGCAGTGGTATGGATTGCTCCAAGCCAGGCTGCTGGACAGAGACATAAGGTTGAGCCTAAATCCTGGCCCCATCCTCCATGTACCCTTGGTGTCCGGTCTCCTCATCCACCTAGGGAGGAGTGTACATGCATAGCAACTGCATAGGTGTGGTTAAATGCTTGGGAACATGGCATGTGGTAAATGATGAAAAGTGTCATTCTTGGTCTGTGATTTAAAACAAATGGCTATGGGCTTTCAGTCATTTCTGAGCTTGTATATAACTCCCATCGCTAGCAGGTCCTGTGCTCAGGAGGCTGTCATTCCTCCTTACTTCTCATCTGTGTGGTTTCCACTTGTCAGTCTTCACCCGAATATCTGATGAACAGATGCTTTCAGTTTTGCAGGGAATAACAAATTACAGCAGGCTAACAAGTTACCAAAATAGTCATTTTAAGGGCTAAGTTAGGATGGGTATGTCCTTTTATTGCATGCTGCCTTTCCTGGTGTTGGGACTGTTGTTGCCCTTGCCGCTTGAAATGCTAGGTCATGTCCAAGCGGGCCATGCTGCTGTCTCTAGTTTTGTTGTTGGTTTGTCGATTAATGAGCTCTGCTTCTTCACGTCTAGTCTAACCCAGAGGATCTTCTAATACATGTATATGTCTATCATTGGCCATTTGTGTGTTTTCATTTCATTGAGAAATTAAGTACTCAAGAGATTTCACTGGGGCATTACAGTATTAGTAATCTCACAAAGTATGCACTGTTCGGTTAAGTGAATGTTTGAGACCTTTCTTTGTGCCCTCACTCTGCCAGGTTTGTGCACACAAAGCTCCAGTCTTCATGCAGCACACAACCTACGGACTCTAAAACCTCCCTAGAGTTGAGTGATTTGCCGTACTGAAGGGTTTTGTAGTCTGGTGTCATAACACGGCAGTGAAGCTTCTTGGACCATTGTTTATGTACATGATCAGTGGCTTCATGACTCCTCCCAATCCTGCCTCTTATTGACCAGTTGCCTTTTCTGGAATTAGTGTGAACAGTCCTGTCTGGTCATCCTGTTCACCGAATTGTGAAAACCAAGAATGTGTGGATACATAAAGATGATTTACTTCGGAAAATTTTGAGCTTTTCAAAATATAGCCAATTCTGTTTCTATCTGGTGTTTATTGTTCTCAAATGTCACCAAAGACTCATTGCATTATCTTATCTTTTAAAAATAATTGTATTTATGTTATGTGTGTGGATGTTTTTGCATGTGTATATGTCTGTACACTTTGTGTATGCCTGGTGTCCCAGGCAGACTGAAGATGTCATCAGATTTGCTGGGACTGGAGTTACAGATGGCCATGAGCCTCCATATGGGTGCTGGGAACTGTGGAGTACAGCAGTGCTCTTAACCCCTGAGTCATCTCTCTAGCCCCACATTTAATAGATCTTAAACTCAATAGCTTTGAGAATTTTTAAATTAACTGAATGATCTTTTTAGAAATAAAAATGAGGTTACAAAAGAGGAATGAGATTATCCAAGTAGCTGCCCACTGTCCTTGATGAGTTTACCATATTCACGCAGCAAACACTCAGTTGTACTGGTCAGGTAGGATATGTCCTTTGTTGTCACAGAGTGCAAAAGTTATTCAGCACTGCCTTGAAGCACCAAGTCTGCTTGCTGGTAAAATGCTAGGAAGAAAAGTAAGGGCACAGGGCGCATGCCCCAGGTCACGTGTGAACCATTGCTTGACACTGGGAGTGAACACTGACTCCTTGGAATGGAGGCCTGGGGGCCCTTTGACCGAACCTGTGGACTTGAAAGCATTGCACGGTTGAAGAGAGGCTTACTGATCACCATTTTGCCAGTGTGCTGTGGGAGACAAGATCGAGTCACTTATCTGTGGTGAGATGTAGGCAAAATGTAGAAGGTTTAACTGGCAACAGAGTATGTTGCTTTCATGTCAACTGTCTTAGCACACACTTTCTGGTTGGCAGAACTGGCCTGATTAGCAGCCTGTCTGTGATCAGTTGTGAGGCAGCATGTTGGCTTGTGTTTGATGAACTAGCTTGCCTTAAGGGCTGGGAAAGTAAGAAAACTGTCTGGTTTTTACTAGTGGTTTCTTTCTAGAGATCTGCTCAGCCACACCCTCACTTGGGAAGTCCATAGATGGGGTAAGGAAAGGAACCAAGACCCAGACTTCCACCTGCCTCCACCAGAGCAGCCTTTTGTTGTCAGTGGCTTTAAGATCAGATGGCTCTGTGAAATTAACATAAGTTGGATCTTAAACTGTACTCTATATAGTTATAGTAGGGATGGTTAAAATTAATTTTCCAAGCTGTAATCTCAGCATTCAGGAGGCTAACACTAGCAGTTTTATTTTTCTTTTGAAGCAGGAGCTTGCTATACTATGTATGTAGCCCTGGTACAGTCTGGGCTCTGGCTGTCAGCAGTCATCCTGCCTCAGCAGCCCAGTGTTGGGGTTACACGTATGTGCCTGGGATGCATAATGAGTCCAGGGCCAGTCTGGGCTATATAATGAGCCTCTGCCTCAAAAGACAGAAGACAGAACAAGTTAATTTTATTCACATGAAGCATTTCCAGGGTATACACCACAGTAAAAATTGAAGTCATGACTCACTGTATAGTGTTTTATTTCTTCCCTATTATCTAAATGCTGTCATTATTGACTGAGATACTGTACTGGGGAAACAGAGTTTGATAAGGCAAGCAGTGTTTAGGAAGGCGGTGCTGCCCACATTCAGGTAGCCCTGTGAGCAGGTGGACAATGTTACAAAGTAATCCCAGTGGGATAGATGCTGTAACACCAATAGTCCCAGCAGTAGGGAGACGAGACAGGAGGGTCATACACCAGTCTAAGGCTAGCCTGGCCACATAGAGAATTCCAGGCCAGCTAGACTGACACAGTCTCTAAAAGGGAAAAGGGTTTTGTAGAGATGGCTCAGTGGTTAAGAGCACTGCCTGCCCTTCCGGAGACCCCACGTTCAAGTCACAACATTTCCATGGTGGCTCATAACCATCTGTAACCCCAGCCCCAGGGAACCTGACCCCTTCTTCTACAGGCACATGGTGCAGTGATTTACATGCTGGCAAAACATCTTTACACATAATAAATTAAAAAAAAACATACACACACACACACACACACACACACACACACACACCCCACACACACCCCACACACACCACACACACACACACACACACACCACACACTCACACACACACACCACACATAACACACACACACACACACCACACACACACCACACACATACCACACACACACACACACACACCACACACTCACACACACACACCACACATAACACACACACACACACACCACACACACACCACACACATACCACACACACACACACACACACCACACACTCACACACACACACCACACATAACACACACACACACACACCACACACACACCACACACATACCACACACACACACACACACACCACACACTCACACACACACACCACACATAACACACACACACACACACCACACACACACCACACACATACCACACACACACACACACACACCACACACTCACACACACACACCACACATAACACACACACACACACACCACACACACACCACACACATACCACACACACACACACACACACACACACACACACACACACAAAACCCAACTAGCCAATCAGCCAGTGGTGGCACACGCCTTTAATCCCATACTTGGGAGGCAAAGACAGATGAATCTCTGAGTTCCAGGCCAGCCAGCCTGGTCTACAGAGTGAGTTTCAGGACAGCCAGAAACCCTGTCTCTAAGCCCCCCCCCCCCAAAAAAAAAGAATTCTGAAAACTCATAATTTATGAATTGTGCATTTTACTTCCTGACATACTTGGGCAAGTATGGCAAATATAGATGTAATCCTCACTGCCCCCCACTTCATATAGCCTAATCTATCTACAAGTGTATAGATACCAGATGCTACCAGTTTCCAAAAAAAACCCAAAAAAACCAAAAAAGAATCCCCTAGAGATCCAAGGGAAACAAAGTGTGTATGTCTATTTTCTATCCTAAAAGGAGTGTAGCGTGTAGACATGCTTTTTGTGAGCAGTGGTCCACAAGTGCTGCCCTGGTTATGGGGGGAAGAGGGTGACGCTTTCAGTTACTCGGTCATTCCTAGCACTTCCTGCTTTTCAGATCCACCTCTTGTCAATCATGCCTGTCACTTCTGCTGGCAGTGGGCAGTAGTATATTAACACTTTAGTTACATCCTGTTTTTTATCCCACAAAATATTCCTTAAACAGTTGTCTCAGAACAAAACAGACATACAGATAAAAACTAGGGAGGTAAAATCTAAATTTGAAAGAGATGTAAATTAAGACATATGTTCCCTATATTACAGTATTAACATTTTTTTTACACTGGTAATGTATAGTGGAATCAGCCTTTTATCTCTTGCCAAACTATTGGCAGAAATTGTAATGGTTGTGTTCTCAGGAACACAGAACAACTCTTTGCCTCGAGACTTATCAAGACAGCCTTCTTTAAACACACAGCATCTCATTTATGAAGTAGAACTTGCTTTTGCCGTTCTCTT